AGGGCCCTGAAAATAGCTATAGCACTTCACCCGAGGGAGTTCGCCGCATTGTACTCCAAGTGCCTGGAGGAGGGAATCTTTCCGGAGAGGTGGAAAAGGCAGAAGCTGCTGCTGCTCTCCAAGCCGGGCAAGCCACCGGGGGAGCCATCCTCCTACAGGCCAATCTGCCTGACCGACACCGCTGGCAAGGTGTTCGAGAAGATCGTGGCAGCCAGACTAGCTGCGGCCATCGAGGAGTCCGGAGGTCTCTCCCCGAGCCAGTTCGGTTTCCGGAAAGGGAGGTCCACGCTCGATGCCATTGAGTTGGTCAAGGACATAGCTGGTTCGGCCATCGCGGGTACGAGGTGGAAAGGCGGCTCCAAGAGCTACTGTCTCGTGGTTACGCTGGACATAAGGAACGCCTTCAACACCGCGGACTGGAACCGTACCTTGGAGTCCATCGTCGCCCTGAATATCCCAGGATACTTACTAAAAGTAGTAAGGAGCTACTTTAGTGAGAGAGTGCTCGTAGTGGCGTCAGCTATGGGTTCCAGAGCATACGAAGTCTCTGCCGGAGTCCCCCAGGGCTCCGTGTTGGGACCCCTGCTCTGGAACACCATGTACGACGGGGTTCTGCGACTGCCTATGCCCAGTGGCACTACGGTTGTCGGATTCGCCGACGACGTGGCAGTGGTCGTAACCGCCAAGGAGCGTACCGCTGCGGAAGACCTGGCGAACGAAGCGATCGGAACGATCGAGGCATGGCTTACGAGCGCCGGCCTGGAACTAGCGGCGCACAAAACGGAGGCAGTCCTGATCTCGAGCAGGAAAGCGGTGGAAACGGCCGAGATCCGGGTCGGTGGAACCGTGATCAGATCGCAGAGGGCGATCAAATACCTCGGCGTCCTAATCGACACACAGCTGTCATTCAGGGAGCACCTGGAGTATGCCCAGAAGAAGGCCAGCGGGACGGCAGGAAGTCTCGCCCGCATACTGCTCAACACCAGAGGGCCCAAACAGATCACCAGGAAGCTGCTGACGAGCGTCGTAACATCCCAAATATTGTATGCGGCGCCGGTGTGGGCAAAAGCAGCCGAGACGAAATCGTATATGCGGGGTGTTGAGGCCACCTACAGACTGTGCGCTGTTAGGGTGGCGAGCGCGTTCAGGACGGAAGGACCAGGAGGCGGCGCTAAGGCCGAGGCGAAGAGCGCGGCTAGAGGAAGGAGCTACGAGAGCTGGCAGGCGAAGTGGGACGCCTCGTCCAAAGGGCGCTGGACGCACAGGCTGATCCCCAACCTAGTGGCATGGATGGAGCGGAAGCATGGTCAGGTGGATTTCTACCTGACCCAGGTTTTGAGCGGGCATGGTTGCTTCCGTAGCTACCTCAAGAGGTTCGGTCATGACGAAGAGGATGGTTGCCCGGAGTGTGGTTCTGGAGTTGCGGAGGATGCGTACCACATAGTTTTCGAATGCCGCAGATTCGACGAGGAGAGGGCCGCCCTGGAGGAGGTAGCAGGAGCGGAGATCAGGGTGGACACGCTGGTGCCGATGATGTTGGAGACTCCCAGGTTGTGGGAAGCGACAGCAGCATTCTCTGCCAAGGTGCTGAAGGCTCTCAGAGTGCTGGAGAGGGCTAGAAGGGAGCGGACGGGCTAAGAGGCCTACTATTGTGCGAAGCATTGCTTTGCGGCCGTACCGCACAATAAGGGCCCTTGCCTCGTTCCTAGTCTCTAAGTATTTATGTTACGTTAGGTGTTGTTCTATTAATAAAGACGAATATAAAAAAAAACATAAACATCAAAACAACACAAACACCCACATCAGAAACACATATCACTTTATTGAGGACAACAACCACTGGACCAGCCAAAACAATTTTACCATCAAACCAACTTTTTGCATCGGAGTGGAAATTTTATATACTCGCGTACACAAACTGTTTCGTAACCGATTCGTAATATTTCTGGTAGTTTGTGCGATTCAAATTTAATACTAATCAAGCCTGTTTTAATTAAAGTGGTGTTGTTGCTATCAAAATTAGTGTTGGTGTTTTTTCGTTTCATTATTTCTTTTACTTCGCAAATTTTTTGTGGTTTGAACTCTTGTAGAATTTTCTCTTCGTCAATATATCTAACTTCTTTGCAATAAATAACTCCCTTAGAGAAGTTTAATGTTTTATGTTCATTTGTAGTTACTTCGATTCCTGCGATTGCAAACTAGTTCCTAAGTAAGGACTTAGGAGATAGCCTCAATTATATTTTCACTTGTAACATATATAAGTTGAAAAGGGTCGGATCGGACCACATTATATAGTTGCCATAGGAGCAATTAAAAAATGTATAGGAAGAAAATACGTAGTTTTCAACATATTTATACCCTTGCAGGGTATTATAATTTCAGTCAGAAGTTTGCAACGCAGTGAAGGAGGCACCTCCGACTATATAAAGTATATATATTCTTGATCAGGATCAACAGCCGAGTCGATCTAACCATGTCCGTCTGTCCGTCTGTCCGTCTGTCCGTCTGTCCGTCTGTCCGTTTCTACGCAAACTAGTCTCTCAGTTTTGGAGCTATCTGAATGAAACTTTGCAGTTAGTCTTCTATATACTCTCACTCGTATATATGTCGGAACGGACGACTATATCATATAGCTGTCATAGGAATGATCGGAAAAGTTTTACAAAAAAAATTATAAAATTTTTAGTTTTCAACAGAATTTGATCAAATTTGAGATATAGCCATTTCATATTATTCTACAATTTTGTGTAAAATTTTATAAAAATCGGACGACTATATCATATAGCTCCCATAGGAACGATCGAGAAATTAATTCAATTAAAAAGTATAACATTTTCAGTTTTCAACAGATTTTCATCAAATTTGAGATATAGCCGTTTCATATTATTCTACAATTTTGTGTAAAATTTTATGAAAATCGGACTAATATATCATATAGCTCCCATAGGAACGATCGAGAAATTTGAGAGGAATGAGAATGGCGGTGGCTGTTGTCGGAAGACTGACAATCGCGGTGGCGATAACAATTTTAGTTTTAAACAGAATTTAATCAAATTTGAAATATAGCCATTTCATATTATTCTAAAATTTTGTGTAAAATTTTATGAAAATTGGACGACTATATCATATAGCTCCCATAGGAACGATCGAGAAATTAATACAATTAAATTTATAACTTTTTTAGTTTTCAGCTGATTTTCATCAAATTTGAGGTATAGCCATTTTATATAAGTCTAAAATTTTGTGGCAAATTTCATAAAAATCGGACGACTATATCATATAGGTGCCATACAAACGATCGTTTGATGTAGAGGAAAAATGCAAATCTGTGAATGTAAAACTGCAAATATAATATGTATATGTATATATGAATGAAATGAAAGCAGGTATTACTTCATTGTTTTTTAACACAAATATATATAATTTATATTGTATGGATTCCTATTCATAGAAGTTCTATCTGCAAGGGTATATAAACTTCGGCGTGCCGAAGTTAGCTTCCTTTCTTGTTTTATCTTAATATTAAAATAATTTAAACAAAAATTCAATTTTTTTATGAAAATCTTACGATTTGATAATTAAAACATATAGCTGCCATTAAAACGAGGGGTAAATGTAGAGGAAAATGCAAAACTTTAAATCAAAGCCGTAAATGTAAAACTAAAAATATAATATTTATAGGTCAATGTAATGAACGTTAACATTATTTTGTTTTTTTCTAACATATATTATTTTAATATATTAGACATTTCAACCTAAGATAAAGTTTTACCCGATTTTCAAATTATGTTGTTCAAAGCAGAACTATTATGATATGTATTAATGTTCTAAATGTGTCATATTAATTTTTTTTTTTTCATTTTATGAAAATTGATCCATTCTAAATGATCAAATTGCAAACTGTATGGGTAAACAAACTTCGGTGCGTCGAAATCAGCTTCCCTTTTTCATACCCTTGGGTATTTAGTCAGAAGTTTGCAACGCAGTGAAGAAGTCATCTCCGACCATAAAAAGTATATATATTCTTGATCAGTATCAACAGCCGAGTCGATCTAGCCATGTCCGTCTGTCCGTCTGTATTATCGTATTATCGCAAACTAGTCTACCAGTTTTAAGCTATCTGACTGAAACTGTGCAGTTAGTCTTCTATGTACTCTCATATATATTTCGGAACCGGCCGGATCGGACGATTATATTAAATAGCTGCCATATGAACGAATAAAAATTATAACATTTTCAGTTTTGAGCCGAATTAAATCAAATTTGAGATATAGCCATTTTATATTATTCTACAATTTTGTGTTAAAATCGGACTTTAATATAATTAAAAATTATAACATTTCAGTTTTCAACAGATTATCAAAAAATTTAAGATATAGCCATTTTATATTATTCTACCATACAAACGATCGTTAGACATAGAGGAAAATGCAAAACTGTGAATGTAAAACTGTAAATATGTATAGGTGAATGATATGAAAGCAGGCATTACTTTATTGTTTTTTAACATAAATATATACAATTAATGTTGTATTAATTCCTGGTGATCAAAGTTCAATCTGCAAGGGTATATAAACTTCGGCGTGCCAAATTGAGCTTCCTTTCTTGTTTTATTATAATTTTATCGTGTTATTGCGTTCTAAATTTCATTAAAAATCAGAGAAACATTAAAGAAACACGACGTGGGTACTTCGGAACAGTTCCCCAGATTATGAATTTTTTTGTATCTCATAAAAAGAATTTACACCGCAAACCAAACTTTTTGGAGGACCTTTAGGGGATTCGTTATTACTCGTACACCTATATACAGACTTTGGCATCAAACGCCGTTTACATTAATAAGCAATTTTTATCAGTTGTTATACCATATTTGTTTAAAGTGTCTCATTTTGCAATGAATTAACTTTACTTTGCAGTGTACACATTGTTAAAAAGTTGGGAAGGTCGCCAAAGCCCTCTATACCAAAAATATATTATATACTTTTGCATTTTAGACTTACCTGTATGCTTCCGCCAGTACCGGGTTTTGTTTTATTGCCAAAGTAGAAAACTGTGCTGACTTATCAAGCCTTCTGCATTGAAAATGAATAGATGACAGTAGTAATAAAACTCCCGTGTTTGTACTGTCCTGACGCCATAGTTGCATACAATGCTTTTCTGCACTTTCGTAGTCCACTGCTTGGTACTCTCTATGAGCCAATTCTAGTAAGCCTAAAATGGAAAATATGTATGCTCATTTTCAGGGCAGAACTCCTAACTTATTATGGGAAAATACATATGTACTCTTATCTGTTATATTCATAATAACGAATACCACTTTTAATTGAAGAACTCAAGATCGACCCAATCCAAATTTTTAGATTCCGTTCGAACTATTTATCGGTGAATTGGTTTTCTCATTTTTCACTACTTTTTTAATAAATGGCGGACCATTTTGTTACAAGAGATTTTGATTTCAAATTTAATAATTTAACCTTGAATTACAGATGGAATGTTTTCTCAAAAGATTCAAAGATTTAAACAAGGAATATTGTCAAGCGTATTTAAGGCAGATGCAATTCTGAAAATTTATACAGTACATGCAAGCAACGCTGAGTGATTTTGCTTGCCGTTTTTATAAGTCAACCAAATTCATTTCAATAACAGTTAACGGCCATTGGAATCAAACATACCGTAAAGTTTGTCACTTCTTTTATTTGTTAAAGGATGTTGCACATTGGGATTCAGAACTTCACGATAATTATACTTTAAAGCATTCACAACAAATACGAATGCTATTTGCCATTATATTTTTAACATGTAAGCCATCGTCATTCTGTGGACGGAGATAACTTTAACTTAAACTGCGAACCGCAGATCTAACAAGATCTAATTTATATTAATAAATATTTTTATAGAGGGGATATTTCAAATAATACAGCTTGGATTGTTTTCTCTATTTCTTGTATTTTAAATTACACTTAAATACCACTTGGCTTTTGTAAGTCAGTTGTATCCTAGGGCTTTATTATTAAACATAGTAATAACCAGTTGGGCGGTTCGCTAGAAAGGGAATTAATCATTCATAATTGTAGATTACCCAAAAGCATCCCCGCATATCCGGACCTTATTTGGCGAAAATTAACCGGGTGTGCAAGGTGACCCCCAAGTACTTATAATCTCTGGAGAGAAAGCTCCTAACCATTTCGAATAGTTTCGGGTTTATCAACGGCTTGGTTTTGCAATATAGCCTTGCATGCCTCACCTTATCAAATGCCTGCTGCATGTCCTGATAGGCAGACACCACGTATTGCTTGGAGTGAAACCCTTTGAGAATATACTTAACCACACGCAATGTAGCCTTGCATGCCACACCTTATCAAATGCCTGCTGCATGTCCTGATAGGCAGACACCACGTATTGCTTGGAGTGAAACCCTTTGAGAATATACTTAACCACACGGTATAGCTGCTCAAGGGTGCCGTGCCTGAGTATAACCTGAAATCAATGGAAAGCACGTAGGGCTTCCATTTGCTAGAATTTGAGCGGAAGAATTTGTTATAGCATCATGTAGAGCGCTCCCTCTACCGTCGGGTCTGTAGCTAGCCCACAGTCGACGGTTTGTATTGAAGTCCCCGCCTAAGAGGAACTTAAAACCCAAATCTAAAAGGAGTTGATCGAATTCGAACTAAAAACTAGAACTTTTTATTTACAAATGACGGAGATATAGCCAATCAAATAAGGCATTTTTTTAGCGAACGGTCATAAGCTGCTCGACAGGACATTTTTTTATCCGAAACCCGAAAATTATTGTTTTTTTAACCATATAAATATAGCTATAGCATGAAAAATATATAACTTAAAAAAATCATATAGAAGAAATAATACGTCATGCCGTAGAGAATTTTAAAGAGAAGCTGTGTAAAATTTTTGAAGAGAATCGGTCGAGTATTTTTTGAGAAATGATGTACCCCGATCCAAAATGTAGCTTTAAGAAAAAGGCAAAAGAAGATAAATAAGAAAGGAAGCAAACTTCGGCACGCCGAATGGATGTATGGTACCTATATGATATAGTCGACCGATTTTCATAAAATTTTACAAAAAATGTAAGACTCATATAAAATGGCTATATCACAAATTTGACGAAAATTTGTTGAAAACTGAAAAAGTGATTTTTAATTGTATTAATTTCTTGATCGTTCCTATGGGAGCTATTTGTTATTATAGTTCGATTTTCAAATCTTACACAAAATTGTAGAATATAATAAAATGGCTTTATCTCAAATTTAATCTGTTGAAAACTGATAATAATAATTTTTTTTTGTAAAAATTTTCCAATCATTCTATGGCAGCTATATGATACAGTCGTTCGATCCGGACTGTTCCGACATATATACGAGTGAGAGTACATAGAAGGCTAACTACAAAGTTTCATTCAGACTAGACTAGACTAGACTGGGAGACTAGTTTGCGTAGAAACGGCCAGACGGACAGAAGGACAGACGGACATGGCTAGATCGACTCGGCTGTTGATTCTGATCAAGAATATGTATACTTTATATGGTCGGAGGTGGCTCCTTCACTGCGTTGCAAACTTTTAATTGAAATTATAATACCCTGCAAGGGTATAAAAATACAGCGAACAAAATAGAACTAGGTGTGTCCTTAAAAGTTCACCACTTAATAGCTTTTAAGCAACAAATCAACCGGAAGACAGAGGTGTCTTGTTTGACCATATTATGTGTTTTGATTGTCACGTATGTATAACATTAGGAACAATCGAGAAATTAATTCAATTAAAAATTATAAAATTTTCAGTTTTCAACAGATTTTCATCAAATTTGAGGTATAGCCATTTTATATTAGTCTTAAATTTTGAGTAAAATTTTATGAAAATCGGAGTACTATATCATATAGCTCCCATAGGAACGATCGAGAAATTAATACAATTAAAAATTATAACGTTTTCAGTTTTCAGCAGATTTTTATCAAATTTGATATATATCCATTTTATATCTGTCTTAAATTTTTTTTGTCAAATTTTATGAAAATCGGACGACTATATCATATATGTGCCATACAAACGATCGTTAGATGTGGAGCAAAAATGCAAATCTGTGAATGTAAAACTGCAAATATAATATGTATAGGTTAATGAAATGAAAGCAGGTATTATTTCATTGTTTTTTAACATAAATATATATTATTTATATTGTATGCATTCCTAGTCATCGAAGTTCTATCTGCAAGGTATATAAACTTCGGCGTGCCGAAGTTAGCTTCCTTTCTTGTTTTTATTTCATTTTGTTGTGTCGTTTATTTACTCATGAAATGACAGCTAGCAACTATAATAATAGAGGTCGTGGAAGTTATATAGGAAATAACCGTGGTGGAAATAATAATAACAATAACAGTAATAATAACAGAAATAATAATAATAATAATGCCCCAAAAAAAAAACCAATAAAGACCGTTAAGATACAAAACCCAGTAAAAAATACGGTTCACACTATCAACCTTAACTTTAATCTCTTTGTTTCATTAAAAAACGAACAAACAAATAAATAATATACATTACTAGTTGATACAGGTGCAGACATCTCTTTAATGAAAGAAACTTCAGACTCATTTAACAAAGTTGAAAATAAAAATATTACCCAAATACCAGGTGTTGGTGAAGGGACAACCAATTCAAAAGGATTAGTATCAATAGAAATAAAAATTGAACCATTAGAAGACTACGAAATAGTTAGTAAAAACAAATAAACATGAAAACAATACAGATATTTTAAATAAATTGAATAAAAATGATCTTTCACAATTTAAAGCAATACTTAATGAATTATGTACAAAATATATGGATATATTCGGAATAGAAACAGAATCCATATTAACAAATAATTCTTACAAACAAAAAATAAGGATGAAAAATGATAAACCAGTTTATATTAAAAATTGTAGAATTCCTCACAGTCAAAAAGAAGTAGATAAACAAGTCGAAGAACTGATTAAAGATTAGGTAATAGAACCATCAGTCTCAGAATATAACAGCCCATTATTAATCGTACCAAAAAATCACCACCCAATTCATCCGATAAAAAATGGCGTTTAGTAATTGACTACCGCCAAATTAATAAGAAATTCTTATCCGATAAATTTCCATTACCAAGAATAGACGATATTCTAGATCAACTATGCAGAGCAAAATACTTTTCATGCTTAGATCTGATGTCAGGATTTCATCAAATTGAACTCGAAGAAAACTCTCGGAATATAACGTCATTTTCCACGAGCAATGGCTCTTATCGTTTCACGCGATTACCTTATGGCTTAAAAATAGCGCCAAATTCCTTCTAAAGAATTATGTTGATTGCCGGACCTAGGTCTTTCTCCACCTCTCCTGCCTTCACGGTGTTAGCATCCAACAGCCATTCCTATATATGGATGAACTAATTGCCATCGGTTGTTCAGAAAAGCATATGATTAAAAACCTTACAAACGTTTTTGATTTATACAGAAAACAGAACCTTAAATTGCACCCAAAAAAGTGATCTTTTTTCAAACACAAAGTAACATTCCTTGGACACGAGTGTACTGACAAAGGTATTTTACCAGACAACAAATATGATGTCATAGAAAAATACCCAGTCCCAACGGACGCAGACAGTTCTAGATTTATAACAAATTTTTCCGATTTTTCACGACATATAACGCGATTATGGAAAAAGAACGTGAAATTCGAATGGACAGATCAATGTCAAAAAGCCTTCGAGTACTTAAAAACACAACTGATGAAACCAACATTACAACAGGACCTCGATAGTAATAAAGAATTTTGAATAACAACGGTTGCAAGTAAACAAGCATGCGGAGCAGTCCTAACGCAGGAACATAATGGAACGCATCTACTAGTAGCATACGCATCACTTTCATTTACAAAGGGAGAAAGTAATAAAAACACGACAGAACAGGATCTAGCAGCTATACATTAAACACTTTAGACCATATATCTACGGAAAACACCTTACAGTAAAAACACACCACAGACTACTAACATATCTATTTTCTATGACTAACCCAAGTTCAAAGTTAACCAGAATGAGACTTGACTTAGAGGAATATGATTTTACCGTGGAATATCTTAAGGGAAAGGATAACCAAATCGCTGATGCATTATCGCGAATAACAATACAAGACTTACAAAATATCCAAAAGGATTATAAGATTCTGAAAGTCACTACCAGAAATCAAAG